AATTATTTCAATTAGTTAAATTCTGTATAATGATTCGAGATAATTTGAAGAAGTTTTATGCACATGTAGTTTTGCATTGTTGTGATGAGGCTTTATACCATATGTACCGAATGTTGATTTTTGCATCTGGATTTCTTCGCTAAGGAGTTCCAAACAATTATTAATGTAATAATAATAATCAATGATTTCCACTTGATGAATTAACACAGAGTCAATTCTTAAAGTAAAACCAATACTAGTGAATACTTAATAATTATGTATGGTCTCAAGTCAACGGATCGATTTATACTTGAAATGTCTCGATCCAATGAGAACACTTTTTTTACGATTTTTCTCACTGTTATTAACTCTCTACTATAAACACAAGTGTAATAACTTGTTTGCCTCTTTCTAATATCTCACATCTGTTTTTTATGAACATTTTATGCATGATTCGACTGTTCTTCTAATTAAGAAAAGAATGACATCACGATACGAGCTTACTTTGCTGGAACAAAATTGAATTAATTAATGAGTTCGAATCAAACTTAATTAACATTTTAGATGAAAATAGATGAACCCTAGTATAGATAAGCAGATGCTTAACCAACACTTGTGTGTAAGCAAATATTCTGAAACAGTTTCGTCATTATACCACTAATCTTACGTTCACTCTGTAAACGGAACACTTCACAATATAGTGAATGCTTTTAAACAGTCTTGATGATGATCACAATAGGGAGATTTTATTGTTATTATAAATCAAAAGTATCTCTAAAAATAATTGAAAAATTGTTGACACTTTGACTTTCTTCTATTTCTATAAGAGGAACACATAGAAAGATAGAATTCTAGTACAGAGTAGATCTAGACGTCTAATACATACACTAAGAATATTAGTATCCAGTAATATAGAAAAAAGTGAGAAACAAATAAAGCTTGAGAGAATAAAAGCTTATTTTTTCACCCTGTATATATGAAAGAATAAAGAATTCTCTTAATTATCATCTTAATAAGTTATACGAGATCTCAAATCTATAGGTTTGATTTGAATAGATATGATTAATGAAGTCAAATACTCGAAGTTAAAGAGTCATTCTCTTTTGTCTAAGAAGTTCTTATATCAGATAAATCTTCGAATAACTGTATTCAATAACAAATACAAATCTCATCTCTATTTGTTTTATAAACATAAATTCCATTCGATATGAACATGTCTAATTTAATACTTTTGTTGAAAAATGTAAATTTCTATTTTTTAATTGAACGCGCGTATCAATTTATAATTTTAATAAAAAAAATATTATATCTTCTTCTTCTGTTTGATATTATAAATCTTGAACTACTTTTTATATTTTATTTTAAAATAAATAAATCATTTCTGTAAAAATAAATTAATGGTTTAATTTTATAATTCGCCAATTGGCGATTAATTCTCTCTGATTATTTGATTTCTTATTATTTTTTTTTTGTATAATAAATTAATTATTATCTATTTAAATGTTAAAAAATTATTTTCATTATGTTTAATCATCTCAATAAACATTATGAACAATATTCAATATAATTCTAATCTTTTTCTTTATTTAATCAATATATTAATATGTTTAATAATCTTATTAATTATTGTTTTCCATCAACAGATATTCTTAATGATGATGAACAATCAACAACAACCACTAATCCCATTATATCATCTGACACACGTATTGAAATGGAATGTAAAGAATTTCTACCTGAAGTATATGATACATGGTCATTGATAGATAAATTATCAACAAATACAATAAATTTTCGTGAAATATATGATCTATATAAATATGAACGTTCTGAAAATAAACAACGACATTATTTTGATCAATTAAAAAATCTTGATGATACAATATATAAATTATCATATACAATTCATCAACGTATTCAATCACTTGAAAATTTTGTTCAACCAATGTTAAATGAATATCAACGAAATAGATCTCGAGAACAAGAATCAAATAATTATGTACCTGCTTATATACGTATAGCAGAAAATCAATTAAATAGTTTAAAATCATCTTTTAAACGTATTATAATAAAACATAATTTAAATTCAATTGATTATCAAAATGATCTTAAACAATCCATAGAAAATTCAAAAACAAATAAACAATCATATGAACAAATATCACGAACAAAAATTGATAAAATGAAAAATTTCTTTAATAAAGATGAAGAAAATTTAAATATAACACCAATTGTATCACAAGAACAAATACAATTACAAATTTTAGAAGACAAACAACAACAACAAGATTTAACTAAACAAGAAATACAAATAGCTGATCTTGAAGCACGTTTAGAAAGTATAAGAATATTGAAAGAACGTGTTCGACAAATGAAGTAATGTCTTCAATTAATTCGATGAAAGTTTATCTCATTTCTCTAAATGTACTTATATAATATTTTTATAAAATTTTGTTAATTTAAAAACAAAACACTCTTAGACGATTTCAATACTGATATAACTTTAGAGAAAATTTTTTATTCCATTTTACAGAACAATTACACTACTGGCCATAAGTCCCTGGATGTGCGATACTTCCTCATAACTTCAATAATTTTCCACGAAATTTTTACCAGAGATAGAGCTTAAAAAACTGTGATCGCAAGCACCAATCCGGGCTCTATCGACTGATATAATATGGAGTTATGATTCAAACATTAGTTTCACGTCTGTTTACTTGTAAATCAACATTCACAGTTTTTACGAAAAACACTCGAGATACTAGAGATCTTGTTTAATCTTTAGGTTGTTTCGTAAGTTGTTACAGGAATACGCAGTGGGCATTTATTGCTCAATAAAGGCATCTCTGGAGAATAGTAGACTAATATTAACGAGCTAAGAAACAACTTAGAGATTAAACAAGTCTTCTAGCATTGCGATTGTTTTTCCATAAAAACTGTGAATATTGATTTACAAGTAAACAGGCATGAAACTAATGTTTGAATCATAACTTCATACTATATCAGTCGATAGAGCTCGGGTTAGTGCTTGCGATCACAGTTTTTTAAGCTCTATCTCTGGTAAAAATTTTGTGAAAAATTATTGAAGTTATGAGGAAGTATCACACATCCAGGGACTTATGGTCAGTAGTGTATATATGTCAGTTTGTCCTCGTAAATAAGCGAGAAGAATGATCAATATTATATGTGGTTTTTTTATTTGAATAGAACAAGAGAAATAGAAGCTAAGAAAAACAGACAATTCAAACAGTGTCTAGTACCTATTAAAAAAAGTGTTTAGGTTTATACAGACGTATTGTGGTTGAGAAAGAGAGATGACAAGAGGAAGGAGTATTTTTCGTTTTTGTGATTTCGATGCTTTCTAGCGAGAAAGACTGATGAATTCTGAATCTATGACAAAATTTGCTATATTCATCGAGATGTATTTGCCCGTAAAGTTGAAAAATTTTCTACTGAGTCGTTCTTTAGAAGTTCCAGAAATGAGAGGGAATCTTCCTTAAGTGAACTTGAACTAAGGATTTGATCAACATATGTATTGTCTAGATCTGACGCCATCTATGTTGAAAATATCAAGAATTTTATAAAGTGAACAAAAAAGAGGTATTTCTATGTTTACAACACATTTGATGTCATTGAGTTTTATGTTTATGAGTTGTTTAATATAATTATTTTTGAATAGTGTTTTCTCTGCTCTATAAAACACTTTAACATTTTATTAAAATGGCAGCATCAACTTTGGCAATTCTCGAACCTAAATCATTGATTCGTCCAACACATTGGTCAAAAGAAGTTGAAAATGCATATCGCTTTCAACTAGCTGGTTATCGAGATGAACTTGAATATAAACGAATTCGTCAAGTAGCAGAGGTCTATATTAACTTCTTTTTTTTTTAATAAAATTCTATTATTTATTATGAAATAATATATCTGTAGATTGATATATGGCCTGATAGTGGCTTTGTTAAGAAATTACAACGTCGAAAAGATGGATTTTTTTATTATTTTGATAAACTTCGTGAATGTCCAGATAAAGAAATAAATAAATGTAAAATATATTCGTATTAAAAAATAAATATTATAAATAAATGTCGCTTTTTGTTTTTCTGTACTTCTTCGTCTATTTATCGTATCTGTTTTAGATATTGCATGAATAACAAGAAGAATTTCTTTTGAATAATTTATATACAGGTAGATTATTTTCTCTTTTTTATACTTGAAACTCGTATGTAAACTACATATATGTTGCAAGCCAATGTAATTGAAACTTAAACAGATATTTTTCTGAACTTATTGTGATGAATCTGAACATAAAGAATAAAGAAATGTTTTCTCTATTGAGCTACTATCTTTCTAAAAATCCTATAGTCTTAATCATCATTTGTAATACTCTAAGAGTGGAAAGAATTCAGTAAAATAGACTTTTCATGGTTGGAAAAAGTCAAGTTGTAACTAATTTTGATATATATAAATTGTCAAACACATTCACATGTCTATTTCTTTAGATTTTGCTGATAGGTGATAAGTATTAATGAATATATGACTGATTGGGATTGAGATAATTGTTTTAGTTTTTTCTATTAACAAATTTGTATACTATAAATTTGAATCGTATGAATAGAATCACCCTTCAGAAAATAAGTCAAAAAATGAACCTGCTTTACTTTTCATTCTAGATGGATAATCATCCAAATGCACCGATAGCTAATCCAATAGAAGAAACAGCAACTGATTATCTTAAAATACATCATATTCCGGAACTTTTTCATAATCTTTCAGCATCTCTGGTTTATAATAAACCGGGTGAATAAATTTTTAAAAAAATCTTATTTTTATCATTTAATTCTATCATATTTGAAAATGTCTAGATGATCCAAAAGCATTCATGATTGATTATCTTGAACAATTAAAAAAAGCTCGAGCAACTGGTCTTGCATTTCCAGCACTTGTTCAAGATACAGATCTAACATCTGTTTTTCGTATGCTCGATCCTGTTGGACTTGGTTATATTGCATATTCACAATATGCATCTAGTAAGATTAATTGCCTTTCAAATATATTCATTTATTATCGTTTTCTTTTTTTTCTAGCGATGGAAGCTCTTGGTATAACAAAATATAATACAGCACCAACCGGCAAAGAAAAAGATCGAATTTCATCTGAAACATTTTGTCAAGAAGCGTATGATCATTTTATAATTATTTCTTTATCTTGACATTATTTCTTTCTGTTTATATAGGAAAAAACGACTCAATGAATTAAATGCTACTTATGTTGTTCAATAATTCATTTCACTTATCATATAGTTTTATGTTTTTCTTAACTGAATCTTTTTTTTTTCAATAAATTTTGTTGAAATAGATGCGAATTTATTGCAAGATAATCAATAAAAATGGCCACATTTTGAATATAATCATCATTGGTTCATGAAAAAACAATTAACAAATTCTTCTAGAATTGTAATTGTCGTCTCTACATTTTTCCGCATGGAATATCAAAAAATTAATAAATGAAGAAATAGTTTTCATAAGGAAAGAACATACATTATAACTAACGAATGAACTGAGAAATCAGTTAAAAGATAAAATAAATAGGATGAATGACAAATGTGTTCAAAACTTAATAATCATTTCAATAGTTAGACAAACGAAATAGTTATTTGACATAGAACTTATTAAAAATCAATGTCATCCTATGAATAGTTTGGATATAAAGAGGTAAAAATTTCGATCTTCCTTACAGACATGACAGACACCGTAGCAACCTTTCTCTCGCGTGTCACAAACCGTGACAGACGTTGTTGATAAATGATCAGAGAGCGCATATCAATAAAGTCTCATTATGATAAATGAACGACTTATTTATTGCATATTTGGAGAATCAAATGAAAGGATGCTAAGAAAATGTGCTCCAAAATAAATAGAATGAAGCAATCTTCCTGTGATGAGCAACATCATGTTTCTCGTTTTAATCTCGTAGAAATCGTGCTAACAACGTCTTCTTTTAAGGACGTCATTCTTGATTCAACTATTATTTAATTAAGCTCCCCCCCTCAAAAAAAAGTCAATTTTCGTCAAAAATTCAGAAATTGAGATAAATACATGGGGAGATAGCCCGTCATCTGCTCTTTCATAAACGATAATTTGTTTTTCTCGTTACTTCATTTTTCCCAAAAA